TGCAAGTATAATTTGGATATGTAGGATTTCCTCTCATCCTCTTAATATTGGACCACACTGTACTTATTGCTCTGCAACTGTCTTTAAAAAAATGGACTCGTACTCAGCTTGCTTAGGAATGGTAACAGGTTTGGGGGACAGCTGAGGGTGGGGGCAGGCCCTGAACATTCAACCCCTCTATGGGAAGAATGTTCACACCCAGCAGAGCATCTCTGCCTACCCAGGGTGGGCGCCTGACCATCTACCCCATGGCTATGGCAAGAGGGTCTAGGGCATCTGCCTGGTGGGCCTCGAGTGCCCTTGACTCACTGAGCCAAGCAGAGGCTTACATGTGTGCTGCTCCTCTGTGTCCCTGCAGGGAGGGACAGCATTGGTACAAGCTGCGCCAGGCTCTGAACCAGCGGTTGCTGAAGCCAACTGAGGCTATGCTGTATACGGATGCTCTCAATGAGGTGGTTGATGACTTTATGATTCGACTGGACCAGCTTCGGGCACAGAGCACTTCGGGGGACCATGTGCCTGACGTGGCTCACTTCTTCTACTACTTTGCCTTGGAAGGTACCCTTGCTGGGAGAGGGGCTGGATGTGGGAATGGGTCAGAGGTGGTCCCCCTCTGCAAGTCTCCCTGGGTTCTGTGTGCCCTGTCTCTGCCTCCTGTGATGGCCTCTGTGCACTACCTAGCTATTTGCTACATCCTGTTTGAGAAACGTATGGGCTGCCTGGAGCAATCCATCCCTGAGGACACCGCGACCTTCGTCAGATCTGTTGGGCTCATGTTCCAGAACTCAGTCTATGCCACCTTCCTTCCCAAGTGGACCCGTCCCCTGCTGCCCTTCTGGAGGTGGTACCTGGATGGTTGGAACATCATCTTCTCCTTTGGTGAGGAGCACTGGGGGCCAGGGAAGAAGGATGGAGGTGGCTCCCAGGTCTGTGCATTAGCAGTCTCTCCCAGGACCTTCTCCCTCATGCTACCAGCTGTTGGAGTGGCTGTTGGTCCCTGAAGATCATGACTTTTGATTTTGTCCTTTCCTTTTCTCCATTGCCCTCACAGGGAAGAAGCTGATTGATCAGAAACTCAAGGAGGTGGAGGCCCAACTACAGACAGCAGGGCCAGATGGGGTCCAGGTGTCTGGGTACCTGCACTCCCTGCTGACCAGCGGGAAGCTCAGTCCTCATGATGCCTTGGGCAGCCTGCCTGAGCTGCTTCTTGCTGGAGTGGACACGGTGTGTGAGGGGGGCCCAGTGAGGAGACCAGGGCTCCCAGCTCCCATCCTGAACCAATTCCCCATCATCCCTCACCTGGCGCTGACCTTTATCTCTCCAAGTACTTGCTTCTTTTTCGTGGAAGCAGTACTAGCAGGAAAACAGAGGGCTCAGCCAGCCCAGCTGAGGTGGGCAGGGAATGGTCCTTTTGTAAGGGGGATTCCATCACCTCCTGGAGCCTCCTCGCTCTCCCTGACAGCTGGGAAATTTCATCTCACATCTAATCTGATTGTCCCTTGCTGGAATTTAAGTGGAGAGTTGGGAGCTTGTCCACAAGCACCTTCTTTCTCTATTGGACTTATTTCCAGCACTTTTGTTCTGTTGGGTTTCTCTTTGCTGCAGTCCCCTGCTGTTGCTAAGATGCTATCCTCCATCATGTTGGTCCTCATCCCACTGTGGATTCTTGTTTGGCACAGAGGTCCCCACGATCCCTCATGCCTTTTCCTGCCATACTTGTGGCAAATTGATGCTCTCCTACATTTTGCACGCATTCACTCATACACCCTCCCACTACTGGCCTGTTTCTTAGAAATCCCTTTTCACTTCATCTCCCACTCTACCTCCTAGACATCCAACACGCTGACATGGGCCCTGTACCACCTCTCAAAGAACCCAGAGATCCAGGCGGCCTTGCATGAGGAAGTGGTGGGCGTGGTGCCAGCTGGGCAGGTGCCCCAGCACAAGGACTTTGCCCACATGCCCTTGCTCAAAGCTGTGCTTAAGGAGACTCTGCGGTAGGGTGCTGTTCTCAGGAGCACAGGGTCTATGTGTGGGAGGAATCAGAGGTGGGAATGGGAGTGGGGACCAGCAGGCTGGGGCGAGGGAGAGGGTGAGATGGGAGAGGTGGGGAAGGCGTGGGCATGCTGCCCTCCTTGCATCCACAGGCAGACCCTATACTTTCTTTTCCCTGCAGCCTCTACCCTGTGGTTCCCACAAACTCCCGGGTCATCATGGAAAAGGAGGTTGAAGTTGGTGGCTTCCTATTCCCCAAAAATGTGAGTGGGGCTAGAGAACCCGAGTGCCCAGGGGTGCCCTGCAGCCCCTAGCTGATGGATTCATGCTGCCCATTCTTCCTCTATAGACCCAGTTTGTGTTCTGCCACTATGTGGTGTGCCGGGACTCCAGCACCTTCTCTGAGCCTGAGAGCTTCCAGCCCCACCGCTGGCTCAGGAACAGCCAGCCTGATAGCCCCAAGACCCAACACCCGTTTGGCTCTGTGCCCTTTGGCTACGGGGTCCGGGCCTGCCTGGGCCGCAGGATTGCAGAGCTGGAGATGCAGCTACTACTGGCAAGGGTGAGCCAGGAGAGGCTGGAGGGGGTGTATGGGCCAGGGAGCGGTGAAGGAGACCTGGGGTGGAGAGAAAGGGAGGCACAGAGTAGGAGTGTGCAGAGGGATGGGGGACTCTAACCACCCCACATGGTCTTGACCTCCCAGCTGATCCAGCACTACGAGGTGGTCCTGGCCCCAGAGACAGGGGAGGTGAAGAGTGTGGCCCGCATCGTCTTGGTTCCCAATAAGAAAGTGGGCCTGCATTTCCTGAAGAGACAGTGCTGAGCTGGACCCCTGCATTCCTGGGGCTTGTCCCAGAGGTTCCAGCCCTGGCACAGTAGTTCCTGGACGCTGCCATGTCTCAGATGAAGAGGGAGAGAAAGAGGCTGCCAGATTCAAGAGGCTGGATGAACTCAGTGCGCTTCCCCAGAACCCTGAGCTTTTGTCACTTTTATTATTTCGAGCAACTCCCTCTCACATAAAAGGCCACTCCCTTATCGCATTGCTGTCCTTGAGCACAATATAAAATAAAGGAACTTTTATTAATTATTGGTGAACTTATTCTTTTTGACTACCCAGACTTTGAACCCCTTTCTGTATTTGGGGAGTGCTCTTTCTCCACTGAATCATGGTGGGAGACACAGCTGCCTCCCTCCTTGGAAGCTGAGAACACCCTGTGCTTCCCCAGACCTCACAGAGAGGCCTTAGCTTCACATGGCGCCAGCTGAGGCCATGCCAGAGGAGGAGCTGCAGAGTGACTCCTGAGCACCCGAGAGTGGCACTGTATCAGTCAAGTCGCAGTTGTAGATAATAGAAAGCACCCTATTTGAACAGCACATAGGCATGCTACATAAGGTGCTACAAAACTGTTGGAAGAGCTCTAGCTAGATCAGGCTAGAGTTGACCTCTAGCAGGCACCAACCACCTTGGGGAGCACCTCCTTGGCCATCCCCCAATCAGGGGGATGAGAATCAAGACATTATCACCATAACTACTGGCTCTGGAGTGACTTCATGTCAACTAGGTCTCTGCTGGCAAAAAAAAAAAAAAAAGATGACCCCCCATCCTGCCTTCAATACCCATGCTGCCAGTAGTAACTGGACTGGGGCCTCTGCTAATGCCCCCTGACTGCCCTGACAGCAGGGAGAGCAGAAGCCTCTGCCTCACTTCCACCTTCCAAATCTCTCATGCACATCTGGGAGGTGGAACCAAAGTCCCACCTGGAACACTAGCTGCAAGGGAGTCTGGGCATTGCCATTGTTAGCTTTCCAGTCTCTTTAGGACAGGAAGCCCGCTAGAAGGAAAGTGGGCTGCACTGAGATCCAGCGCACCATACCACATGCCTGGAAACCCAGTGAGTCCCTGCCCCAGGAGTAGATTTCAGCTGAGTCATAGAGAAAAAAATAAAGTTCATATTCTTATGCCTATGGGAATCAGAGTTTTAACCCATTTTAAAAATTGTGTCACTGCCCTGTTTAAAATCCTTCAGAGGCTGCCCTCAGTCCTCAGGCCAAGTCCAAAGTCTTTACTGCAGCTTATAAGATTTCACTGTGCTCTGGCACCCTCCCTGACTGTGGACACTCTTTCCACAGCTGAACCTGAGTTCCTTGCATCTCCCTGAGCACATTATGCTCTTCCCAGCCTCAATACTTGGTACTTACTGTCCCCACTCTTGGAACACCCTCTTCCTCCAACTGTCATGTCATCCAGAGAGCTTGTTCTTCCTTAGGATTCAGCTCAAATGTCACTGCCTCTGCGAAGTTCTCCCTGACCTCTCTGAGCAATCCTGAGCACTTCCTCTTGTGTCCTCCTTACCCCTCCCCCTGTTACAGAACTGAGCACTCAGCATGTCTACCTTGTTGCTGACCCACTGTCTCCCTGACCTGCTGCGAACCCCCTGGAGGGCACAAATCAAGCTCCTCTAATTTTGGATCCCAGCATCTAACTGTGTCTAGCCCCTAGAAGGTGCTTAATAAATGTTTGCCGAACGAGACTGGAATAGGAGGGAGAGAAGAGGGGAGGACCCAGAGCTTTCTGCATTGAGCAGAGGAACCTAGACGGATGGGAGGAACTCCTGATTAGCAGGGCAGGCTCTCGACCCCACTTGTGCAGTGGGTTCACCGGTGGGAGCTGCCTATGAAGTACAGAGGATGGGGGCTGGGCTCAGAGGGTGCCAAGATTTCTGTCACAAAGTCAACCAGCGTGGACTTCTGCCTTTCCCTGTGTTCTGCTCCTTCAAATCAGCTAGGATGAGCTGCCGAAGCCACGTGAACCCCCGAGTGCTGGCACTTGGGTGGGGGAGGGTGTGTGTGATGTGACTTGGATTGGGGTTTTGTAGCAAGCGCATGTCAGTGTTCATGGTCTGCAGCTCAGTTAATGAACTTGTAGGCTAATCTCACATCAAAATCTATGAAGATCTTGTCTATCCACACCACAGGATATTGTTATCCATCCATAAAAAAGGAATGAAGTACTGATTCGTGCTGCCTTATGGATGAACCTTGAAAACATTATGATGAGGTAAAGAAGCCAAAAAAAAAAAAAAAAGGACCGTATGTTGTACAATCCCACGCACACCAAATGTCCAGAATAGGCAAATAATCTATACAGACAGAAAGTAAATTATTACTGCCAAGGGTGAGGGAAGGGAAGAGGGGGTGTGACTGTTAATGGGCCCCCAGGATTTCTTTTTGGGGTGATGACTACATTCTGGAATTAAATAGTGCCTAACTTTGTAAATACACGAAATATCACTGAATTGTACATTTTGAAAGGGTAAATTATATGGTATATAAATTATATCTCAAGTGAAAAAAAAAAACCATGAAGATCAGTTTGGTAAGATTATTGTAGAAATAACTGCCAATGTAGTCAATAACTCCAGAATTTTCCTGAGGGTCACTGATGCCTTGGAATTCGGAGGCGGCGCTGCCCTACAGAGCCTAAAATCCAGCCTCAAATAGGAAGTTACAAATGCAGAGGGGAAATGAGCTAAGCAGATTGGTGAAGCAAGGAAGTCCTCGTGAGGGTGACCGAAAGAGCAGGCTTATTTCCTCACACTCTGATGAGGTGTAGGCGCAGCTTCAGAGGCTCCCCCCAGAAAGGCTTTGCTGTCAGTGACGGAACACCAGACGCGAGAGCTTAACCGTCACTAACACAAGTGTTAACCTTGCTCACAGGAGCTGCTTCCAGAAAGCCCACAGACACGGAATTGGAAGAAGAGAATCAAAGACTCCCACCCAGAGCAGAGAAAAACAAAATACAGCATGGCCAGAGAGGGCTTCTCCTTATACTCGGGTTTTTTTTTTTTTAATTTTTAAAAGATTTTTATTGCTATATACTATACCTACGAAAAATGCATCTACCGTAAGTGTACATGAAAGTCTTTTGCTTATCTCAGGAGTTGAAAATGACCTCTCTCTTATTATATTCCACCACAAAAGCCTGGGCAAAACTTACTTAACGTAAATGAAAAAGTCGAAAAAAGAAAAGAAAAAGAAAAGGAAAAAAATTGCTAGATGTTATGCCCTTGATTAAGAAAGAAAAGGTTACTTTCTTTGACAGTGAGTCATTCAAACACATAATAGTGCTGGAGGGATGTGTCATAGCGTGGGCTCCTGCCCTTGCAGCTTTCTCTCTCGAGGCTGGAAAGCACCAGCCCTGGTTGAGGGTTGGGACAAAGCCCACCAGTGGCCAGGGATGGGACACACTTCCAGAGTCTGAAAGTCTCAGGGGCTCGGGGGCCCCGAGAGTCACAGTAAAGGGATGTCACAGTGAGGCTCCTGATAGCCCACCCTGATCCGCCTCTACAGGGAAAGAAGAATAGTGGATTTAGGATCATTGATGCAGCACAGCAGATACACCTTCCGCTGAGAAGAATGACACATCTGGTTACTCCTAGTCCAGCTAGTTTGATTTCGTTGGCCAAATTAGGATCCGTATTTTTGGGTAAGACTTTAAGAAAGCACCTTGCTTCCTAAACAACGAGGTGGCCCTCTTGTGGATAAAAATAGACAGGCTACCCAGTGTTGCCTGACTGTCTACACACTCAGGTTCTATGGACGTTGTAGCTCTGAATGCATTTTGTCTTGGTAACAGGAGTCTATGTCCAGGTCACTATTTGTGACTCCAGTTTTAATATGCATGTCAAACGAAAACTTTAACAATTGCTCTAATGGAAGAAACATACATGACATTGTACTGAATACGTTTGTATTTAAGGAAGTTTTGGGAAAGAGCAGTGAGAAGGTAATGGACTGGACACCTTCGATGCTGTGTGGCTACTCTCGGCCAGTGCTTGTTGCAGACCTCAGTCATGATTAAGTAATAGACAGACCCGCTAATGTGATGAACGATTTTACTAACTGTGAGAATGAGGCCTCCTTATTTCTCAGCACAGTCACACGCTCATCATGTGTTATTAACCATGTCTCTAGTTTTTACAGAAAATACAGGTCCCACCCCCAAATCAGGAAATTAGTATCTCTAGGAACGGGGCCCTGGAATCTGCATTTTACAAAGCTTCCCTGGTGATCCTGATGAACATCCAGGGCTGAGAACTACGGAGAGGCGGTGAGGAGAGAGATGGGAAAGTCAAGGAGGCCACGGAAGTTTGAGGCGGGGTGGGGGGCAAAGTCAGGAAAAGAGGGGACAGCAGGGCAGGTGCACACAGGTGCTTCTAGAATTCAGAACTGGAGTGGAGGCGGTCGCTGCCCCCGTGGCAGCTCTGGGCCCCTTGTCCAGCCACCATGATGGCTGGAAGGGCTGGGCTAGGGGCTGAGGGCCAAGCTGTGACCAGAAGAGGGTCTGAGGCTGTGAGGGTGGGATGGTCCCTCACAGAAGGGCCCAAGGAGGAGAAATACCAGGTCCCCAGGATGGTGCCCGGACAGGCAGAGACACCTGCTCTCAGGAAGACCCCAGGGGAGCAAGAGTGCCTTCCTCAGGCTGCTGGCCTGCAGCCTTTGCTTTTCCCGCTGAAGGTCTGTATCACATGGAGCCACCCAGAGGCACAGCCTCAAAGGACTGACCTGTTACACTTGCCCGGAACTGGCTGCGGCTGGAGTCACCCGCCCTAGGCTCCCCAAGGGCACTGTCACTGGAGAAATCCTCCCTTGGCTTAGACCCCATGATCACTCCCATGTCATCTTCCCCTTTGGACTCTAGTCCCTGGACCTTCCTGGGTAGGACCAGCGCAGAACCAGCACTGACCCTAGGGTTTTGGTAAAATGTCTAGTGAGAAAATACCTTCATTTACTGTCTGACCAATCAAGTACAAACGTCTCTACTCTGTAGCTCTGCGAAGTAAAGGGGGTGGGATCACACTTTAGAGATACTAGCCTCCCCTCCCCCACTGGACAGCTGGACCTCCAGCGCCCATTGCCACGGAAAAGAGTGACATAGCAGAAGTGAGTCTGGCTTTGGGATTTCAAAAGCCCATCCTCAAGGTGAGCGGCAAGAACTCAGGATACATACAATGGATTTGGAAGAATATATGATGGGTTAGAGAACAAAGGATCCCTCTTTCCCCACTGGTAAAGATTCTATAGGCTGGTGGGGGTTGGGGGACAAAGAGACTGTAGGCATTTCTGGGGTCCTTGAGAAAAGGGACCTGAGAAGGGGGGTGCGTCTGAAGAGAGAGGGGAGTATGACAAGTACTCCATATAGGTTTGGAGATGACAGAAGAGCCCTGGGCCCCACGTTTCCTGGCTAGAGCCTAGGAACACAGCCAGCCGCAGAGCAGAGCAGGCCACTGGCTGTACGTCTCAGCAGACGGGCCTGGAGCAGCCTCGTGGAGCTTCCTGAAGCCCAGAGGGGTGCAGGGCTAGGACCTAGCATGTCCCGCATGCCCCAAGCACAGGCAGGCCCGGAGAGGCTTTGTGGGAATGAAGGAGCACAACCAGCTGATGACCAGACGGGGACGGGCATGGATGGATAATGACGGCTGAGGAACAAAGTCTGACACTATTTAAAGTCTCCCCTTTCGGAGTCCACTTGCTCAAGTCCACAGCGCTGCAATGACAATGCCGGGAGAGTAGGAGGACAGTGGCGAAGGGGTGGCTCCGGGTAAAGAGATGATAAGAAAGAAAAAAAAGCCTCCCCTTTCCACTGAGCTTAACCGCAGGGAAAGGTGAGGGAGAGACTCCCAAAGTGACCAATATTAATTTCTAATCACCTGGTAAAATGGGGTTCCTAACAGAAATTACAGTCAGTGTTAGCAAAATAAAGTTATGTTTCTTGCAGATTAGAATTTGTAGACTGAGTTGTACATACTACACGAGTAATTACTATTTCCTTTATGGTTTTGTTGTAAATGAAAGATAAAAATATTTTGGTAGAGCAACACTCTATGCACAAAAGAAATGCCATTTGCAGCCTTTGTCAAATTTCCTTCATGTCTTTGAATTCAGGAAGCACAGGGATCTTGCCACAAGTTCAGGTTAAATGACCGTATCTTTGTTTGAGTGAAACCTATAAAGTCCACGTTCATGGATTGTTCTTTTTGTTTTGTACAAGGCTGTCCATCGCTGGGGACTGAGGACACGAGGCACTGGTGAATGCTAAGGAGTTTTCTGGACAAGAACAGAAGGAGGACCTCACTCCAACAGGCAGTTCTGTAAATAACTGCTGCTCCGTGGTGACCCCAGCAGCGTTGCAATGACGATGCCGGGAGAGTAGAGGGGAGGTGGCAAAGTTGTGGGGAATCACTAAGGTTCCCCACCACTGGGGAAGAACAGCTGGGGCTCCCAGCAAGCTGGTGGCTCAAGGGGGACTCCAGAACCCCTGACTACGCCTGTGGGCTGTGAGCTCCCTGCCCCACTGGGGTCAGTCTTGACCCAGGTGGGGGAAAAGGGTACACGGGGGCACACAGCACACGGGCAATCCCAGTGCCTCCGGTTCAGAGACCTCCAGGGCCGACTCAGCTGTTCTCCTTATTGTCATCATCCCGCAGTGCATTGGCATGCCTGAGGGCTTCTGGGAGCACGGGCAAGGCAGGGCAGTTAGGGAGGGCTGGAGAAGCCTGTGTGGAAAAGAGACGGGAAGGCAGTGACCAAACAGGGAGGGGAAGTTGCCTTTCCAGCAGGGGAGTCCTACCATCCACTGCCGAGCAGGTGGAGTTGGTGCCCCATCCTCCTGTGAGCCCCTAGCAAACACACTACCCGGAAGTCTGAGGTCATGTCACACTTACTGAGATGAGCACTTAGGTAGAAGCTACCCCTTTAAATCTTAGTTCTTCCTGAGGATGGAAATCCCATTCGACAAAGGTTTATACAGCTTGTTTCCTTCTAATGGCGGTCCCAGCAGGTGAGAATTGAATCATGAGGGAACAGGTAAACCTTCCCCGACAGTCCAAAGTCACACTGCTGTCTTAGCTTTTAGGCCAGCCTCTGTCCACCCCTCCTAGGAGGGCTTCTATCACCTCAGCTGAGAATGGGACAAAGTGGTGGCCTAAGAGTCCTATACTTGTTTTCTTGGGGCTGCTCAGTTACAAACTGGGCCCGTTCCCATTCTCAGGGGGTCCTAATCTGAGATCTGGGAGCCCGGAAAGACTGGAGCTGATTAGATTAGCCCAGGGCAGAGCCTACCTGAACCAGAGCAGCACCACCAAAGGGGGAAGGGGAAGATGAAGGCCGATCCCCCGGCTCCCTTCGTTGGCTTCTGGGTGTGGAGATGGCTTGGGAGTGAGGACCCAGACATCCTCAGGCACCGAGGGCATCGATGCCAGCAGGGCTGAGCACAATCGCTTGAAGGATGTCGGAAAGGGAGACCACACCCAGGAGATGCTGGGTCTCGTCCACTAGTACCAGCCGGTGTACCTGTGGGGCCATAGTGTTCAGTGAGGGGGCAGAGCCATGGGGCTAGGGCAGCTGATGAGGTTGGTACCAAGAATCCAGGAAACACCCTGACATAGTGGGGGAGAAGGAGAGTGTCTCCTAGGAACCAGTTACGGATGGCTGTGACCGCTCTAGGGATCAGCTGGCTGTGGCTATTGGCACAAGGGACCCATGGACAGGACCAGGTGCAGACCAGACCAGTGTGAACGCCAGGAGTTGGTCATGAAATAGAAGGACAGGCCAGGTGTCCAACGTCCAGGGATAGCTGGAGCCGGGCAGAAAGACTGGGCCCTGCGTGTTGGGGGTATGCCTGGAGGGCACCGGCTACCTGCTCCCGCGCAATCCTGTCGATCACTTCCCCCAAGCTCTCGTGCGGCTGGCAGGAAAGGACTCCCTCCAGACACACTGTCCTCTGCCTCAGGGCTTCTCCCACACTCATGTCTAGGTGGTTGTAGGTTTGCTGGGCAGCCAGGTGCTGGGACGGGGAGAGAAGGATGACTCTTAGTTCATCCCCTCGCCCAGGCACCAACCCCACAGACATCACCCCTACACACTTGCCAAGGTCCGCCGATCCAGATACCCTCCACCAATCCCCATACCCTCAGCCTCCCTGCAGCACCCCCGGCTCCCCGCAGACACTTACAATCACATCGAAGCGGGAGTAGAGTCCCACGACCTGACCTGCAGAGGGTGGCAGGTAGGGGGCAGAGAGAGACAGACAAGAGACTCAGATCAGAACCAGGGTGCTGTGCAGAGGGCCTTGGGCTGCTGGCTTTAAACAAGGCATCAAGCTGCCACTACCTGAACCCGAGGATCAAACTTAGCATCACAGAGAGCGAGACAACCTCACATCTGCCTCCTGAGGAGGGGCAGTGGGAGCGACATGGCATTGCCTGTGAAATACTCTAGCCTCAAATGTACCTCTTGAATCGCATCAAGCCTTTCGATCTGATTTCCAGCGTACAGGAAACACAGGACTAAGGAACGAGGTAAAGGCCAGCTCTCGAGAGCAAACAGACAAGCCTGGAGGTGGAGAATCCTATAGGACAACTCGCCTGGGCTTTTCAACTCATCGGAGTCATGAAAATTAATGGGGAATAGAACTGTTCTAGATTTAAAGAGACTTGAGGGACAAAAGACACAAATGCAAAATATGGACTTCAATGGCATTCTATTTTGGACAAATCAACGTAAAATATATATATTCTTCAGGAAATGGCGAAACAAGAATAAGGATTGGATATTAGGCAATATATATTATTCATAGCTTTGTTAGTTGGCATAGAAAAAATTGATTTTAAGAGATGCAGACTGAAGTGTTTGGGGTAAAATGATATGGTATCTGTAATTTACTTTGGATTACTTCAGAAAAAAGGATGAACTGATTATGGCAATACGATAACAACAGTTAATCCAAGCAATGGATATATGGGGTTCATTTACAATTTTTTTTTTTACCATTTTCACACATTTGAAGTTTTTCATAATCAAAAAATAAATTAAAAGCACTTCTTGATATGTAGCTTCATTGTGGCGATTTT